TGGGAAGGTGAGGTCGTGACGGGGGCGGGGTCATGCTCTGCACGCCAGCAGACCTTTCCTGTGGCTGCCCGGAGTAGAGCATCGCAGCACCTGCCGAGGCCATAGATTGTTGTGTTGTGAAGAGATCCGAAGAGGGTGAAGGAGCAGGGAAAAACGCGAACACCCATGGCAGCCGATCGACCGTTTGCGATGTCTGATGGGAAGTGCCTCCCTGTGACCTGTCAAGTGTTAAGTGTGAATGTGGTGTCTGTCGCTGAGGGGTGATGGGGAGGCTAGGCCAGTTCCTGGGGCATGGCGACCACGATGGTGTTGTGGCCACGCCAGACTGTCTTGCAGCATTCCATCTCTGCCCTAGTGGCTCCAACGGCTTTCCATCTCCTGTCTTTTTTGGTCGAAGCCTCGCGTCCAGAGAAGAAGGGGAGGCAGGGCCGAGAGAGGCACGTTCATCCCAGCGTATATTGAGGCTAACGCCCGGTTCGGAAGGAGCTGTGCCCAGCTCAGGCAGTGATTGACCAGAACGATAGGCAAGAGTGGGAGCCTGATATGGCTGGGCATAGCCTTTTAGCTCGCTTCCACCTGTATACATTTGGCTGAATCTGCCTGTTGCCGGCAGGGTTTCTGGAGCGAGGCTTGCCTCAGTGTTTCCAAAACCACCTGTGCTTATCTTCTTCATGTTTGTGACTCCCATGAAACTGCTCTGGCGTTGAAACCGTGGGGGACGAAACCGTTGGGGGGAAAATTCGAGAGCTGCTCGCTTGCCGCTGAAGTGCGTTTTTGGGGCACGGCCGGCATCAGTACCAGCGCTCTGCGTGGCTTGGGATTCGTGATGCCGTGGTAGGTATTTCTGGTTCTCACCAGATAATCCGCTTTTGGGAGAGCCTCTCCAGTTTTGGGAAGTTCCATCTGACTGGACTATTGGGAGCCTGCTCCGCAAGAGCGATGTTGGGGCCTGGCCTTCAGTGGCAGCGCTCTGACTCCTTGGGGGAAAGTAGTACACTGATTCTTCTTTCTTGGCATTGGCATCCTCTATCGCCTTTCGAGTCTCTTCTATGGTCTTTTTTCTCCACGTTCCAACGTGAATGAGTTTGGCCATCTGCTCGTCAAATGTTAGTTTGGGACGTGTGTCTATTTCATCGACATTCCTTATTTGCAGAAGGATGCCACGGCGATTTGCTTTTTCAAGAGCTCGCAGTTGGTGGCTCAAATGTGGGGACATGAACACTTGACTACGCCGCAGATAGACGACGCGTCTCACTTCCTCCACAACCTCATTTGTGAGTTCCACGCTAAGCTCCCCTTCGGGATTGGAACGTAACACCCGTGAAACTACAGTATCGATGAGTGGGATAGCCAATTCCTGGAGATGCAGAAGTTCTTCCAGCATCTTCAAGCGCACGCTTCTTGTGAGAGTAGGATGCATGGGTTTTTGACTGATTAGGTGCCTCGCAAAGTGCATGATGCGGTTTGCATGCAGTTGCTGCTTAAATAGGTCGCGGGATTGAGAAAATGCCCTCACATCCCCACCTTCCGCTAAAACAGTCTCCATCATCTCAACCTTCCGTCGATCGAACTCCCCTCCTAGCAACGTCGACAAAGCGGCGACTTCTTGAATACAAAATCCCAGGGAAAGATCGAGTAACCTCATTGTAAATGGATACGGCAGGTGACAAGCAACACACGATAAGTCTTTCGTCACCTTTTCCAGTTTTTCCATCACAGCGTCAACCCGCTGTTGCATGCTAGGTGGAATGCCATTACCA